TATAAAACACATAGACACAGACAACAATGTAGTGATAGCCAGCAGGAAAGGGGGGTGGGTGTAGATGGAGGTGGGCAAAGGGGGAAAAACAAGGAGGAAAAGAGACTATTTTGGGGTGCTGGGCACATGATTAAGTATGCAGATGATGTTTTATTGAGTTGTACACTTGAAACCTGTATGGTTTTATTAACCAATGTCACCCAAATAAATTGAACAAAAAATAAATTAAAATTTAAAATGAATAAAATAAAAATAAAAATAACAAAAGGAGTGAAACTTTGGATGTTAGGAAGTAAGGTAAGACAAATTTGGAGCCATGATTCATGCATAGAAGATGTTTGTCATGCTTTTTATAATTCAAGGGTTGCCTCTATTGGTAAAAGTGAAATAATTGAGTTAACTGAGTCATCAGCTAAAATACTTTCTTTCAAATAAAGCTCAGTTTCTGGTTTATGATTATGTTGATGTTTGTTGAAGCTTAAATCCAAATACTAAACTTTGCTAAGAACAAGTTCTTCATTTTAATTGACCTACAGAACAACTCTCATTTTCATAGTTAACTAGAATTTTAAAAATCTGTTTCTGAAAATTGATAGCAAGTGTGTTCCTTAATTATAAGAAATATCACTTTTAAATTAGAAATATGTAGAGCAAAACAAGAAAGTTTTACTTTAGGACATGTAACTGTCTCTTCCCATCCTACATTGCTTTGTGATTAATATCTTAAATGATGAGTTCTTGTTACAAGCTCCTTCTTTTCTATTCAAGGTGCTCTATAATTTATTCCCATCTTAAGTTGTCAAATCTTATTTCCTACTAAAGTTGAACAATAATTTTTGCTTCCTTAGGGTGTATTCCTTACTGTTCCAAGGACAGTACACACCAATCCAATTTTTTACTCTTAGTGTGTTAGCTGGTGTTGATCTCTTATTTTCACCCTTCATCCCTAAGTCTTACTTGTTCTCTAGTGCTCTAGTCAAGTTAAATAATGCTGACCCATTATTCGTACATATAACAAGTTATTTATCTTTTATCCATTGCACCATACGTATTTGGATTTAATTATTTAGCATTTATAGTGACTTCTAAGTTTTTATATCCTAAACCCTGTTGCTTCAACTGTATTGTAAGGTTAAGATTCTTATGTGAAAGGAAAGAGGCAGTGGTGAGCAGGAGGATACAGGAGTGTTGTCAAGAGTTTGTATTTAGCCCAGCAGGGTGTGGCTCAGCAGTTGACCATCGACCTAGGATACAGGAGATCGCAGTTCGATCCCCAGTAGGGGGCGTGCAGGAGGCAGCCGATCAATGACTCTCACCATTGATGTTTCTATCTCTCTCTCTCCCTCTCTCTTCCTCTCTCTGAAATCAATAGCCATATTTAAAAACAAAAAAGAATTTGTATTGAAATGGTAAGCAATCGTATCCCAGGAAACATGGTGGTGCAGAGTGGGATTCACTCCCAGTATTTTCCTTGGTATTTCTATAGATGAGCTAATGAAGTGGGCTCCAAACAACTAGGAGATTCCTATAGTTACTTCCACTTCCTAAGAAGTCCCAGCCATGATCAATCCAGAACTGAATCACCTTCATCAATGTTAATATATTGTGGATAACTGCTGCCAGATAAGACTAAACCACAGACAGTATTGGGCACCTGGACCTCTGGGTATTGGGTATCTAACTAATGACACAGGCTTCCTCTGGTCATTACATTAAGCATTAAGTAATGTAATCTGGCATATCATATGATTAACTATTTGGTATCCTGCTTATTGTGCTAATGGTTGAGGAAAGCATGCTACTAGAGCAGGCTTTCTTAGTCAACAACAAGAGCGTACAGTCTTCTCAGGACTCTTAAAACTTCCATAAATGATGATGAAGAAAGAGGTGATGGTGAGGGAAAACATCTGTGGAATTAAGCGACATGGTTCCAAGCTAGAAGACACAGTTTTTGCCTGACTAGAAGCACTGTGGGGTACAATATATATTTTAGAAGATACAGTGAGGAGTGGAAATGATACTGTGTAGGAAAAACTGAGAGGTACCTTGGTGAACCAGAATTTAGGTGGGCTTCAGAATTTTAGTGAAGATGAACTAAAGATAAGGTGCAGACAGATTACATAAATTGTAGGGCAGGACTATGGCATTAGGCTTTAAAAATATATCTAGCCTTGTTTTTTCTTTAGGTATAATGGATATTTTTATGTATGGGGAGACCTGGAATTTCTTTGGTGTGGTATCATTATAGATAATGATACATCCTGTTTTATTTATTTATTATTTATTTATTTATTTATTTATTTATTTATTTATTTATTTATTTATTTATTATTTGTTCTCAACTGAAGGTGGTTAGAAAGGAAACATTTTAGAAAAATCAGATATTCAGAAAAGATTTTTCATTCTTGATTCATCACTTTTCCGACTTCCCAGTATAATCCTTCTTCCTTGAATCAGGTTCACTAAGCACACACAGCCAGAAATAGGAAATCTGGTGTGATTCAATAGAACAATTTAGGACAATACTATTGGCTTATTTGAACATGTGAACTGAGAATAAGATGTAAGTTCATATTTGTTTGAAAATAACCAAACCAGAAGAAGCTTTCCAAACACTTTCTTAGTTCTTATATTTTGAATTACCCTATGACTCTCCTTCAGTGAGTGCAGTTGGCAACTGAAAATAAAAACTCAATGACAATTGACAAAGTCAAAATGCTTTTATTTATACTGAAGTTTAGCAAGTACATTTTTAACAAAGAACGTCTACTTTAACTTAATATATGGTGGAACAGAAAAACCATACATATAAATTCCTAATCTCTAACACACTACCACACTTTTTTCCTTTAAAGACAAAAAGCCAAGCTGGAGTGAGCATAGAAAAGCATCAAATATGGTCAGGTAACTTAAGCCATGAGGATTTAGCTCATATTCTTAAACTGGTCAATCTAATGCGAGGACAAATTTCACATCATTGCTTTTAAAATGCACACACATTCCTTTTTTATAACTCCATATAGACTGAATAGCTATTCAGTAAACAAAGCTTTGCTGATAAACACAACTGAAATAACTCCATGTTGAAGAATTTCAGAGATTAAACTGGAATCACAAGCATCTTCTTTTATGTAAAGCCAGCCAGGACTTTTCAGGCTGAATAAAACTATTGTGCCATCACTAAACAGTAACAGTTACCTCCTTTAAAAAAAGAAAACAAGTTACTTCTTCTGAGGAATAATTCTGATAGGTGCTTAAAAATACTAAACTCCTATCTTCAGGAACCTAAATTATCCAATGTAACAGGCTTGGTTTAGTATTGGTAAAATTTTAGATTTCTTAACATTTCTATGTGTTAATGTGCCAGTTTTCAAAGATCCTTCAAGTTTCATGCTACAGCTTCTGTTCTTTCCACAGCACTGGATAAATTGAAGACGGATGGCTCTTTTCATAAACTATGTCTATAGTTATCTACATTACTTTGGCTTTTGTACATAATGGTATATTTAAGATCCCTATGCTTTACCAAAACCGAGAGAAAGGAGTGTCCATTCATGATGTAAGGTAAAGACAGCTTTGTACATTTAGAATTTCCTCTTCCCAGGTTAAGCCTGAGACTGTCTATACTGCATGAAGGGAGAATAGTTCTGATTATGATTTTAACCAGTGTTTGGTCAAACCAGTATCTATTTAAACATTGGTAATCAAAAGAATCCATACCATTCTAGACTTTGAAAATATTCGATGTTGTGGGTAAAAACTATAATTGGAAACAGGTTTCAAAAAAAGATTCTAACTCTTTTTGTTTAACCTTGCTCTCTTCCATAGCCATAGGTTATGTCCTGAGTTTCTAGCCAACAACCTCATAAAAATTGGTCACAAAAGAAGAAACAGAAAAGAAAGTGTGGATGATCAGTATAAATCCATCACCCATGCTTAAGAAACACTAAAAGTACATGTTTGTGAGTTAAATGTATCAACTTCAGATATAAAGGAGACTTGCATTATCATTGTTGGACTGATATGTCTAGTCTAAAATATTAATTTAGTCTAGTCAAAGCTTAGCATTGTTAGGAAGATAATATATCCTTTTTAAGCCTTTTGTATATCTTTAACATAGTTATTCTTTTTGTATAGAAGGTATTTGAAGGTGTCGGGGGAATTTTGTGGATAGTACCTCTGACACAAAAATAAAGATGTGGTAAGTAATAGAAGAATAAGAGAGTTTGTGTTTATGTTAGTCAGGTGGCCTGGAAGGTCAGACTTTATTAGAGGGCAACCAGACAAAGAGGCCATGGAATTCACCTGAACTTTTCCAGTGACCAGAAAAAAACAAAACTTGAGTTTTTGGAAACTGTTTAGTCATTGGTCACCCCTAGAGAATTGTACAGACTTCTGTGTGGCGTCTGAGAATATTTATTCTGATAAAATTCACCAGATAGTTGCTCAGTTTTCCAGTCTACCTCATCCTCTGTATACAAAGCCTAAATGTCAAAGGAAAGTTCTTCATCATCAAATGGCAGATAGTCATTTTACCAGGATTGAAAGGTATACAATATAGCTAAAGCTTAAATCATGCAATACAAATTGTGAACATTACAAACTTGAAAGCAATGACAAAACAAAATAATATCTTGTAAAAAAGGTACATAAACATAGTAACAAATGTCAAAAAGCAATTATTTGTCTTTTAGAAAAAAATGAAATTTCTTAAAATCTCCCTCCTTTATTATGTTTAATTATATGTCTTATTAAAAAATGCAAACATTTCTGCCTAGATCCTTCATTAAATGTGCCAGTTTATAAGGCCTATCAGGAACTCTTTCCACAGCAGCTCAAAAATCCAAAGAAAAACTAAGCCAGCAAAAAGAAGACGGTATTAACATAAATGAATTTTTCTATTCAGAATACAATTAAATTAAGATTTCATAGTAGCAAAACTTTTTCTCCTAATTTAGAGTATAGTAGCAAAATAGACTTTTGTGTAGCATGCTGTATAATGTTGACACAGATTCTGTTAGTGTTTTACATATACCAATATTGAGTGATCATAAGGAAGGAGCCAATATTGACCTGCTAACTGACACTGATTGTTGGAGTTATCTCAAAAGTTTGCCACATTTCAATTTCAAAATGCATTTCAGCTATAATATGAGTGATTTATCATTTAGTAGTAGCTGTCAAAGTAAACTCCTAGATAAAACAGAAACATCTGGAACCATAAACAGAAGAGAGCAGTAGCTGAATTTTAATCCAAACCCAGCATGCTCACTTCATTAGGAATAGAAAACAGCTAATTAAGTTGAATGTTTCTTGCTTTAAGAGGGCTTGCACTTGAGTTCTAAACAGAGATGATCTAATATGCATTTTGGATGTAAACAAGATTAAAGATCAGGAGGAGCAAGGAACAAAGCCTCTCTGGAGGAATGTTAGGGAGCTTGGGAACTTACAAGGAGTGACACACACTGACATTTGGGGAAAACTGACAGAGTTTATTGCTTTAAAATTTATTAAACAAGTAAAAGGGGGAATTTGATACACATAAATTTGACCCTTGTAAAAATATAAATGAAAGCCCATACAGTCCTTCCCTTAGCACAGCACTGCCTGACATGAGCAAACCCCATGACACAGGAGATAAGCCTCTGCAGATCAGTTGAGTTATCTCTAAAGGGCCACACCTGAGAGTACCAAATTTAAATAAGTGTGAGACTTGTCTTCTGTGGTATATATCTGAAGCTAATGAAAAGGGAAAAGCTAAAATCAGGTGTCATAATAAAAGCAGATATGTGAGGAACGGTCAGAAGAAAACACATGAGTATTCATTATAGTTCAACCAAAGTCAATTAAACATACCTATTTGTAAAAAGACACTAGTTTGTTTTTAAGTGACTTAGTGAATTTGAAAATGCCGTTCAATTTCCCCTACAGTTCAATATATGTTGTTTACTTATCAAGTAATAAGATATTTTTGGATATTATATTTTAGTCATGTTTCTGTGTTATTCAGTTCAGATATTTGGTATTAATAAAGTTTTTAAAATTTTATTTGCCTCATTCCTTCTCTGTGGCTTATTTCTAATTTACATTATTACACTGACTTCAGTTAAAACAGCCCACCTACTCTATACAAGAAGACCTTCTACAGTCTGTGGAGAGTACCAGAAGCCAAATGCCTGTGCCATAGAATAAATTCCTTCAGAGCATGGAACAACTGGAATGTCACATTATATGAATTAATGTAATATTTAGAAGTGTGTAGGTTAGGTGTCCATTCCAGAAGAAATTGCATGTAGTAACGCAGGGAACTGATTATTGGAGAATGGATAAAATCTCAGTTGGCCTTTTACATAAGATGAGTGGTGCTTCTGTTAAAACAACTTAATTCTCAGGCAAATATAAAAATAACAATGGATTAGATTTTACTTGTGTAAGAAGGGCACTTTAGGAGGGGCATTAAATCTTTTTGATCACTAGAGTACCATTTAACACATTGTAATACTGCTCTATCAGATTCTTAGGAAGCATGAAAATAATGATCACAGGTATTTGCCACCAGCCTTTGGGCAAGTCTCTATTAAGTAAACAGTTAAAAAATATGTGAGGCCATTTCTTGGACAATTCAAGCCGAATTACCGATTTGTTTCTAATCACTGGAACATTTTAGGCATCTTGCCATGTGCAGAGCAGAGGGTGAGCAATGGAAAATATCTATGATGTGACTGAACCATCATATCTGCCTTTCTTATGCCTGTAATTTTTTTAGTTGTTTGCTTGATGATAGTTTAATAAAGAGGAAGCAGTATTGAAGATGGAAGGAGAATAGAAAAGAATTAAAGGGGTATTTTTAGTAGCTTGGGTATGAGTTTATATCATTTTCTTCTTTATAGATTAGGAATGTGCTAGTAGAAAGGGATCAAATGAGTTGCTCCACCATCAACATATCAAAGGAAGAACTAGGCATGGTGATAAGTACAAACTAGAACTCTTTGTATTCCCTTAGAGAGTGCTACAAGCAACATGGTATCTTTTATAAAGGTGAGCGCTAAAGCATTCATAACATATATTGATCATTTGCACAAATGATTTACCTCCTCACATAATTCTTGTTAAATCCCAGGTTAGCCAATATAAAGCTATTTTATTGTAATCACAGCTTGAACTGGGTATGTCTGCATTTTAATTTCTGTCACGCCACTTAGAAATAGCATTTTCTCTGTATTAAAAATTCTTCCACCTACTTATCCACTAAGATGCTGTGTTGATTAACATGATAATGTTTATGAGGCACAATGAATTCTGTGGAATAAAGGGATTATAGAAGTGTAAAATATAGTCAATCATCATTATGATTATTCCCCTAAAAATGTGTAAAGCCCATTCTCCATACATTTTTCCTGTATGTGCAAGGTTCCATTTACTGGTAATGAACAAATAGTAATTGGTGGTTCCATATTTTAAGAATTTTGAGTATGAATTCCAAAGAATTACAATAGATAAGCAGGTAATTGCTACAGGACCTTATGCGCGCCTATGATCAATTGGAGTTCTGGCATCAGTGTTCAGGCTGCAAAGAAAAAAAATAAACAAGACCAGATAAAAATTTCATTAGAACAAAAACAAACCCAAAATCTACTCAATAAACTTCACTAAAAACCACAAACTGGCTTTATAGTATAGTTGCTGTGCTATATATGTCCAAGATTTTAATAAATCTTTGTGCAATAAAAGTATTATTTTATTAGGTTTACTCCTTAATCATATATTCATTGATGTAAGTCTCATTCCATTAAAAATGAAATAATACAAAGGTGAGCAAATGATAGATTTACACAAGTTTAAAGCTCAGCCTTAATCTCCCGGGGTGATATTGACCATATTAAAAAGGTATAAATGATATTCCCTCACTCTAAAATACGCTTATGAGCCCCTTGTGCATGTTCTACTACTTTACAACTTGCAGTGAAAAGCATGACTCGCTTAATAAGCAAGGCTTTTAGAAAGATTATTTTTTGTTTTTTCCCTTTTCACAGACTAAAACATGAGGAAAGATCCACACAGTTTTTGTTAATGATTCAATTTCCCCTCGGGCTGCAATTTCCTCCCCTGACAGAATGGTTATTCAAAAGTAACTTCTCACTATTTATTTTTAAAAACTACCAAGACATGTGTCCATACAGTTTTTGAAGGTTTAAATTTATGTTTAGAAAAATATTATTTTTCCTACCCAAGACTGTTTTGTCCCCTCCCCCCAATGTTTCCTCACCTTTTATTCACTTTTATAGAAAATGGAATTATCTTAAGAACTAATAGGCTTCTCATCACAAGCATACTTTGGTCTATCAAACCTTTCTTTTGAGGTAGCTAACTTATTCTGTGACATTTGTTAATAAAATTATACAGATTTCAGGTGTACAATTCTATAATACATCGTCTGTATATTGTATTGTGTGTTCACCACCCGAAGTGAAGTTTCTTTCCATCACCATTTATTTCCCCTTTTCTACTTTCCTACCTCTACCCCACTCCCCCCGCCCTCTGGTAATCACCATACTGCTGTCTGTGTCTATGAGGTTTTTCCTTTTTTTTTGCTTAATCTCTTCACCTTTTTCACCCAGCCCCATAATCCCCCTCCCCTTTGACATCTGTCAGTCTCTTTCAAATCTATGAGTTTGTTCCTGTTTTGTTTGTTAGTTTATTTAGTTCATTAGATTCCACATATGAGTGAAAAGAAGTCAGTGTTGTCCCTATAAAAATTTATGACATATGGTTTCTCTATAAGGTGTAGTGCCAGTGGAAGAAACTGTGAATAACATGAGTCAGATTTTCCCAGGATTTATATTACTCAACAGTTGCAAAATGTATACCTTTGGCAGATACATCCACCTTTAACACTCAGTCCCCCCAATCCAGCTAAGTATTGCATTTTATGTTTTAAGTTGCTTAATTAGTGATGTGTTTTCAATTTTCAAATGGATGCTATATTATTTTGTACTAAACAAGAGCACACTAGAAAAGTCATGTTTTCCTAACCTGAACAAAAGTTAGATACAACAATGTTGCTGGTTAATGCTCTACTTCAGTCTTAGGTTCAATTTGAATTAAATATGCAATTAATTGCATGAACTCTACTCCCATTGTGGGAATATTTTCAGAATGTGACATTCTCAGAACAAATGAAAAATCTCACAGTAGTCACATTAGTTTGGGATAGTATAAATATGAAGCTACTAATTTGAGAATAGGAAAAGTAGACCACTGCAAAACAGGAGTGGATAATAAAATGGTATAACATTTGATGTCTCTTTTTCTAGAGAAAAGCATGAATTTAAAGTCATTTTTCAGAAGGTCCAGTCTAAAACTTATTTCTATATTATGGCACTTTTTTAAAAACAGGAGGTTTCTTGAAAATACTAACCACTTGGCCATACTAGCCTTAAAAAATTCTGACATATTTTAATCAAAACAAAGAGTACAGTTCAACTGTTCTCTGTAAATGCTATCATAATGCACTACCAACATCTCTTGCTTGTTTTTGATTCACTTTGTTTTTGTGAATTAATTCTTTAATATACCCTTTCCCATTATTTAATCTCTAGTTTTTGTAAGATCCACCCTAAAAATAGAGCATTGATACCCTTCTATTCTCATATGGGGATAAAATATAAAAATATATTTACCATAAGTATATGCTGAAGAACATATGTTGCAGAGGAAGTTTTATACATCAATTATTTGCCAAATATACCCCTACTAAGATCTACATATGCAAACACAAGTGCTAACTTCATATGTATTATTTTTTATTTTTTAATTTTTGTAAATTTTATTTTTGTTTAAAATATTACAGATGTCCCTTTTTCTCCCCAATGACCCGTTCCACCCAGTCTCTTCCCCCTCCCCAATCCTNTCTTTATTGTTGAAAGTATTACAGATCTCCCCTCTTTTTTTCCCCATTGATCCCCTGCACTCCACATCAGCAACCCCCCAGGCCTTCACCAAACTATTGTCTGTGTCCATGGGTTATGCACATATGCATATAAGTTTTTTGATTAATCTCTCCCCCTCCACCCACCCACCCTCCTCCATCCCTCTGACATTCATCAGTCTCATCTATGCTTCCATGTCATTGAATCTATTCTGTTCATCAGTTTATTAAGTTCTTTAGATTCCATGTATAAGCGAGATCATGTGATTTTTTATAAGGCATAGTAATAATAATATCTTTTATCTGTAATACTTATCAGAATATCAATCTAACTTATTGTAGAGGAAGCTTAAGCAAATATTCTTATTACTGTTTTACTAAAATTAAGTCAGCGAGAGGTTGAATGACTTCTCAAGGTTAATGATTCTGTTAGCCAGTTAGTAACTGAGAAACTCTAACTAAAAGATAAGTGCTTTTCTTACCAGTTCATCATGCTTCCCATAGGCTAGTTATAAAATGGCAATAAAAGTGCATATGTTCAGTACACAGTCCTGCAACTTTTGAGCCTAGCAGTACTTGAATTCTACTTTCCAGCAGGGAAGAGAAAGGCTGGAAAGAAGAAGAAATAAAAACAAATATTTTTGGAACACTGACTTTGTTAGGAGCTATGTGTACTAAGCCATTGAAGGTAATGTCATGGTGAAAGGTAGAAAGAAAGCTACTTATATTTCTATGCCAATCTTCTAAAAGATTTAAGCTCATATCACCTACCTTCCATAATTAAGTTGCAAACATTTTGTAAAGGTCAATTTTATTTGGGTTTTGTATAGGATGTGTACTGAAAATATTTTCATGTAAGATTTAAAAGCACAATTAAATTTTTTTAATAACTTCTTACTCCATTTGAATTCCAGAATGATAGAAAAACACTAAAAATCTTCGTTTCAGAGGAATCAAAATATGGAGGAAAATGAAAATAGAAGTAATGGAAAACATTAAATATTTACTTAAACAGTATTATAAATGACTATATCTGACATGGCCATTGAAGTTTGAAATGCAGTTACTGAAACTGATATAATTAATCTAGTTATTAATTAATAACAGGAAAGGTGCAAAGGGGAGCTGCAATTTAGAAGCATGCATGCACAGTAAAGTCTAAATGACTTAGAGAGGGAGCTTGTCTATCAGTCACACCTGGGAGCAGGTTATTGGCCAGAATAGGCATGGCCACTGCAAAGGCCTGACATCTGAGATACGTAAATTCCAGAACAAAGGAGTCCCTTCCCTTCTCTCCTGCTGCTGTCACTTGACTCCTGGCTTGCTGGTCTCTCATGATCTGCACTTGCCCACTTACAGTGGACTGATGGACTAAAATTAGTCTGATGCTGTGCTGGACTCAACTCCATCACGGAATGGCAAATTTGGACACGGGCTTTTCTTCTAGCTCTACTGAAGCCCCAGATGAACATTTTCCAGGACTGATTTAAGGGAAATTAGACTTTGGAAACAGAGGATAAAACCCTAGGGAAATAAAGCTTTCTATTACATCTCATCCTCCCGTGGGGGCCACTGGAAATTCTTATTCCAGTGGTGCCCAAAAACCTCACTCCCACTAGCAACAGAGAAATTCCATCCACAATTCTCTGATAACATTACCAGGATATTGTAAGTTTTGAGTTGCAGATTTTGCCTCATTCATCTTAAATGGTCACTCACCAATGCTGAGATCAACATGACATTCATCTGTATTGTTTTCAAGAAAACAAGAGCACTTAAACATTTATAGAAGAATAAGGAAATAGAGAAGAAACATGTAAAATATGATACTATCTTGAAAGCTAATAGAGAATTTGATAAAAATGTTACCCAAATAACTATTTACATTGTTAAGATAAAGAAGATGACATCTTAAGTATGTGGCTATTACCAATGTTAATGTTCAAGCATTGAACAAGTAAATTATAAACTCTGAGGGTCAACAGATTAGGTGACTCCAAGGAGGAAGGTCTATATAAAATTCTAAAGAATGTTTTTCTTTAAATTCACTTTAATTTTCAAAATTGAATGTAATATAGCTATTATAAATGAGAAAAAGTTTCCTTAGAATGAACAAATAAAAATTTATGTTAATGACTTAATGTGAGTAATCCTGGCTTAAAATTATATAACTGAGGGTCCGTTGAGGTCTAATTCTGATAGGGTGGTAAGAGTTTATACACAAATAGAAAAATTTCTATTACTATTTCAACTTCTGTATGCCATTTTAAATAGAAAAGAGAGATGCATAGTATTTGTGTAATTTTTCTAAGTATCACCCTAATCTCTGCAAAGTTTTAAGTAACTAGTCATTATTAAGTTATTATTTGTTTTATACAATTTTGGTTAAGTAACTACAAACTGGAGAAGCTTTCCCCCACCCCAGGCCTGATGTGCTGTTGTTTTGCATGGGATAATATTATGGTCCAGTTAAATATATGGATTAATAGTGCTATTATCAATATGGAATGATAATGAGAACAATGAGAAAGGGAATTAAGATTCCTGGATTTTAGAACCCACTGTCAATAGCAATCCAATTAACTTCTCTTAGGTTATTTCCCTACTACAAAAATAGGGGTTATGATATCATTCTCAAC